CATGAGAACGGACATAGCTTTAATGTAAGAGGTTAGTTTGTTGGTGGCACCTTTGGATATTTGAAGTGGGATCAAACATATAAAGCATTTGGGCCAAGTGTGAAGTTTGTGTGGTTTTGAAATCATATATTTGACTAATAAGTGCCCCAAGTCAAGACAAGGACATACAAAAGTTGTGAATAAAATTTCTTCAAATGGTCAAAAGTGCAATTAAGTGACTAAATTATAATAAAAAATTTAATTATTTATAATTTACTCAAGAGTTATAACTCTAGCCAATATAGATTTATGATATGGCAACTCTTGCCATAAAAACCTCTTATATCATAGAGATTGTATATATTAAAAAAAAAGTAGTGTGGATAATATGGCTCTGGTTCATTATCATTACATATGCTTATTCATATATCTACTTAAGAGTTATGACTATGATTTATGATATAGTAACTCTTGCTATATAAAACTCTAATGTTATGGAAAGCATACATTTCTAACACTCTTTTTTGGTTAATTAATCATTAAAGTATCATTGAAACTTTATAAGTCTCCCTTTTTAAAGTATGTGAATCACTTTCCCCTTCTATTATTGTCCCATTTAATTAGAGATCTAAAATTTTTCTTTCTATGCTTTTTCTGATCATACTTTATAACTTATGATCCACACCTAAAAAGAAAAACAAAATAAAAAAGAATATACTTAAACAAACAAGATATTTTGAATAATGTATTAGCCACTTTATTGTTATATGTGTACATTCTACATGTATTAGAGGAACTCTTGCCAATGAGTAAGGTGGACTTAAATATCTTTCTAACAACTAAAATATTAGAGAGAATGATAGTTTGAATCCATATAAAAGTTTATTCATACAGATAATGTTATCACAACTCTTTATTCAAGAAGGTTAATTAAAGTATATGGCATCAAATTTAAAGCTCATATATATAATAATACAGCCCTAATAACAATGTCACTTATATATGTTTTAACCATAGAATTAAAGAGTCTCAATATTGGAGATTGCTTCAACTATTGAAATACAACATAACACCTTTTATCTTAACCACAAATAATAGTATGTTTAAATACGTTCTTGAAAAGATAAGTTAAGGGAGCAACTATTTCTAAAAATCTTTTATAAACTATTGAAAAACTTGAAGTATATACATTTTCAAAGGCATATGTTAGTAAGCACAACTTATATATTTGTGGGATCAAATATTATATGGTACATTAATATTAAATATTCAAGATATTCAATCTCTTTTTCTAATAAAATTAAATTAAATAATTTTAGGTAGAACTTGTTATCTTTCAAAGTTGCAAAACTCTTTGTGACATTTTATATTCCTTAATTATAGAGTTGAACACTAGAATACAAAAAATTAATTAATTATAAATTTTTCCTAAATAAAGCTGTAAAACTTAACTTATTAATCTCTAAAACATTGCAAGAGCATTTATTAAATTAAATGACATCACAAAAGCCTTGTAAGAACTCATATCTATCTACAATGTCATCTTTTGAATATTCTTTGACTAAACATAAATTTAATGGTACCCTTGCCTTAAATCAATATTCATAAAATGCTGAGCAACATAAAAAATATTAAACAAATTATAATATTACATTAAGGGATAGGGAATAGAAATATATTTTTCTGCATCTTATCATTGAATCTTTTGCAATTTACACAAAGACATCATATACCTATCATATACTTGAGTATTAGTATTAAAGTAGATCAAGGAGTTTTGCTCATTTACAACCACTTACTTTAAAGGTACTCAATAAACTACTTTATTAATCTCCTTATTTTCAGCAAGACTAGTACAAGTTAGTTTATAATTAGGAGTAACTCTAGAAACTAAGTCAATTTTATATTAAATCTCACATTATAGAGGTAAACCATTAACTCATTTAGAAATACATCACAAAATCTCTTCTAAATATAGTTCATTTGATCCCCATATTATAAATAAATGAGTATACCATAAAACAATTAACTATCTCATGAGCATTTCACCAATTTTAAAACATTTCTTAATGGATTTGATGAATGAAGATGGCAATAAGGCTAAAAAAATTTGTTTAGACTACTATGAAAAAATATAAAATGGAAAGCAATTATCTTTTTGTGAAGAGGTTAAGGAATATTAATGTGATTGTGGTAGAATCCATCATGGATATACTAGTATGGTGGCAGTTCTGCATCCTATGGTGAAATATTGAAAAATAAATTTTAAAATTTATATAAACTTTGTGGAGCTTATAAACTAATTGCACAAAGAACCATTAAAGATTGGAAGGGATATTTAGTTTGAATTCTAAGATAGTCCAGAAATTTTATTTTCTTATGTAAATATCTATAAAGTGGTTATGGTATATGGATATAGCATTACATATAACTTGAATTCTAAGATAGTCAAGAATTTCTTTTTCTTATGTAGATATAGCACTTGTGTTATAATAAATAAGCTTTAAATGTTCCTTTGATAATTCAAGGGATTTTTAATCATCTTTTATTCCATATTATGGATTTTAGTTGCATAAATGTCATTCTTAGAAGGAATTGTTCTATAATAAAAAGCCAAGGATCAATTAAGAGTGCAATGTCAAAATTGGTGGCACTGTAAAAGACATTGTCAAGACTCATAACTATGTTTTAGCCTTGATGTGGTAATAGTTATTTTTCCCTAAATATGAATTATACCGACCAAAGTTGACCTAGTTGACTAATGGTTTCACAAAAATCTAAGCCTTGGTGATAATATTGTTTAGCAAAATCCTTCTTCACATTGAACATCTATCAAATTCAAATCTTTGACAAAACATTACACGCTAAACAATTTATCATTATAGAACTTGTCAACAAATGCATTCATAGATAAAGTCTTTTGTTTAATTTTTAATTACTTGTCTAAGAGATTAACTTTTTCAAACTTTTTGACAAATGAAGTATAGAAAATCTTTGCCAAATCACCCCAAAAAGTTAACTTTGGATTGGTCTTCTAGTATAAAGAAACATGGTCTATAAGTTTAGTCACCAAAATGTCAATTTTCACTTTAAAGTTGTAAAATTAACAATTTTGTATAACTCTAACCAATTATCAACTTCCACTTCATAGTACTATAGTTTTTGGCATTCTTGATGGTAATCATGAATATGATATTTTAAGGGTCTATACATCCTTGATGAGATTGATGGAATTCTTTACTTCCCAAGAGATCAATATCCCACTTAACATGCTGCTTAAGAGTAAACCACTCTAATCCCTTAGTCTATAAAATATTCTTAGAATATAATCTTTAATGCAATACATTGAGAAGTTGGGCAATTTCCTGATCAACTGGACTTTGATTGAGAGAGCCAAGACAATACTGCTAGAGATGTGCTCAAGAGGGTGATCAATGCTAGAATTGGCTACTTATTAGGTGAGGAATCAAAAAAGACGAGCAATAGTCAAGAAGGTTTTGAGCCCCATCATCGAATAGAAATGTGCACTAGAAGCTAGCATGGAATCTAAGGCTGGAGTATGTTATATGAGTGACCTCAGCTGCATGTTGTATACATGATCGAGAAACTTCATAAGCTCTTGAATGATTTGGCATGAAATACTACTTTACTCTCTAACTTGGTCTTATGTTTGGCCTCTTCACAGGGAATGATGCTTATTGCTGCTTTAAATCCAGGCAAGAAAAGATCTCTGGGTTCATGGGACATTGTTTGAGTATTATCTATGACCTGACCCGCTTATCTGTACTTCTGAAGTAGCAGCTATAGCATGGTTTTGCTTCATCTTTACCATAAATTGCCATGCATGATCGGCTATATATGCCTTGAAACTAAATTACAGTATGACAAATTTTTTTCTTTAAGTTTATGGCTTTACTTTGGACCTTTTACAAGGCTTATGGAGGTACTAGATTCCATGAGACAGGCTCCAATTTAAGATTTCTTACCTTGATTTGTAGCTGCTTGTTCTATTGACTTTTCATTAACTATGTTAATATTTCATTGACTGAGTTTAGACAAATGGTAAGATCGAGTTTTACAAGGAAGCATCAGTAAACGCATAGAAAGAAAAAATATCTCGTTGCGGAACTGAGCAGCACCTTCAAATCTTTTGCAAAGTCTTTCTTTCGCAACTTCAGAACTTTTTGTGACGTGCTTGGATCTTTACAAAATAGTCACAAGGAAGATCTTCCGAGAAAGCATCCAACACCTCAAAAATCAAAGAAGCCCATACCTGCGAGAAGAGCTCCATTCCATGCCTCTTCCAATGCAGAGCCGACGTTCTCCCAAATGGAAGCCTCGTGGGGACGATTGTTCTGGACGTGGACTTGCAGCATCGTGTTCCACGAGAAAGCGTTTTTAAACGTCAAACACTGCTGGGTTTGGAGCGTCTTCTCTCCACATCTCCAACAGCAAGTTTAGCAAGAACGTCTCGTTCTTGCGGTGGGCGCTCTGGTCTCCACACCAGCAGATGAAATCGGCGTAGCAATCGCTTCCAGGTTATCAATCAATAATCTCTCGAGGCAATCCGGCCACTTTCTCTCTCATGAGTTTTTCCGGAAGAATGTGGATGGCATGGAGCTCCAAAGATCCGACCTCGAGAGATCTTTCTCTCTTCGTTTCCATTAATGAGAGCTCCCGCCTCGTCGCCGGTATACTCCTCGCAATCCAGAACCTTACCTCTGGCCTGAGAAGAAGAACAACTCGAAGAATCGAGCTCCGTGGTGCCGCTCGTGCAAGACCCTGTCCTCCAGCGGCAGCTCCACCATGAGCTCTCCATTGTGCTTCCCAAAATCCATCCTCGCATTCCCCAGCCATAGCCGGGATGACGATCAAGTCCTGCCACCGCCGCCGTGCCCGCATCATCCCAAAACCTCTCTTCCTCTCTAAAAATCTTGGCTTTGCTAAGAACGTACTTCCAAGATACTCGTACTTTGCTTAGTGGAACAGTACACTTGAATCTACGGAAAGCTTACTAAAAATCACATTTTTTTCGCTTCTTTCTCCCTTCTTGCTCGGATGTCATCGTTGATCTTGATGATCATATTGACCAGTGACAAGCTTCGCTGGGTTCTCGGCTTCCTCTGCTTCTTGACGATGGTCGGGTACTTGGATTCAGCCGTGGGCTTCTTCTGAGATTTTTCCTCGTCGCGATGAGCCTTTGCTGGAGCAGGTTTCTCCACACCCTTTCCTGCTTCTACTACTTCTTCTTCCTCCTCCTCTTCATCATCTTCCTCTTCTTCTACTACCACTTCTACAACTTCTTCTACTTTTACGTCTACGACTTCTTCTTCTTCTACTTCTATGATCATGCAATCAGAATCGTAGTCTTCATCTGGCGCAGGGCAAGAGCGAGTTCTCATTCTTCTCAGCGGAGGCGGAGGAGAAGAGCGAGGCCGAGAAGAAGAAGATCGTTTCGCCATAGACCAACCCTACAGGAAGCTAGCAAATAAAGAAAAAGAGGCACCGCTTTGTTCCAAGGAAAATCTAGTTTTTCGAGGCAAGAAACTTATTACGCAACGCATTTTCGAGAAAAAGAAGAGCAAAGATCATTCTTTGCAAGCTTTGGAGCAAGCAAACAGTCGTTCTAGCTGGTATTGGTTTCCTGGTGTGTGCTGTCCGCGCGAAGCCGATACGTAATCCTTCCCTTGGAGAGATCGTAGGGGCTCAATTCGATCTTGACGCGGTCCCCTGGAAGCATCCGGATGAAGTTCTTACGAATCTTGCCCGAGACATGCGCCAGCACCTCACACCCATTGTCTAGACTCACCCGGAACATGGCGTTGGGTAGCGACTCGGTCACTGCTCCTTCCATCTCGATCAAATTCTTGGATTTGGATTTGCCACCGCCACCGCCGCCACTGCTGCTACTGCTGCTACTGCCCGTGTTGCTGCTCGCTCGATTGCTGCTCGCACGACCAACAATGCGAATCGCGAGTGGTCTTCTTCTTCCTGCAAG